TGTTACGTTCATGAGAACACCGCATTCTCCATGCTCTGTCTCTTATACACATCTAGATGTGTATAAGAGACAGCTATAGGCTTGTATTTTATTTCTGAGCGAGTAATGGCCTTGTATTTTATTTCTGAGCACGTGGTTTTTTTTTTTGGCTTAAGGGTCCTTTTCGGAGGAACATTCGTACTCGGCCCTGGGTACGGCGTCTTCCCATTGGGCTTCAGGTCCGCCTGAACCTACCTATGGACTTTTTGTATCCGACGGATGGACCTGGCAGCTTTTTCGGTAGTATGCGTAAGTGTAGTAGGCATTAATTACGCAACCGTTGCGTGGGCCTTTTTTCTGCCATGAACTTGGCCATTTCTCGAGACACGTTCAGTAATCACGGGGTTCTGCATCTCTGCCCAGCTGTGGCGACTGGTTCGGTTTTCGGGAGATTTTTCCCACCGAACGGTTTGTGGGACACCTAACTATGTTCCAGGCTCGTGGGGGGGGACACATTGTGCGAATCAGTATAACTTACGAGCTACCGCCTGTTCTTCCTCTCATTGATGGAAGAACGTGCGCAGACGGTTGGAGCGCATACCTTGGCGACGCTCGCGGGTGTCTCTTGATCGACTTCATCGCTGGAACTGCCGGCACGACGCTGGATGAACAGCCTGACCTGCTTCTCTGACATAGTGCATCGTCTTGAGCTTCAGTACACCCGACGACTGGATACTGGAGGCGCATGCGATTTCGCCTCCGCTTTGGTTGTCCTTGTTTTCTTGTCGTCTTGGATGTGTGTTCCGTGACGGTTTCGGGGACATCTAAATCCGCAGCGTGTACCTGTCGATTTACAGATTGCAGGCTTTACTTTCATTCCGTGATTTTGAGATATGCGCTCATCTGTCGGCTTACTGTGTGTGGGCTTTGCTTTCATTACGTGATGATGGGACGTGCGCTCGACTTCGCGCGTATCTTTGTATCTGTTAGGAAGGGAGTAGGATAGCTATATAATGGGGCAAGGCACAGGTATGGCCCCATTCAGTCTGAGATAGCGTTCTTTGAGTTCCTTCTGAAGAGTCTATGTGCGGGATAGACGAAACGCGTCGAGGGTTGGCCGCGTGGATGTTTTGTTATTTGGGATCTTTGAAGACTATCGTCGAGTTGTTTTCTCAATGGTGTGCGCAACGGAGTGGACGATTATTGGTGTATCTTGCTTGTCTCCGTTCTCATGCTCAGTCTGTCTTGCCGGAAAGTTTTCCTTTTCCTTTTCCTTTATGGGCTGGCTCCTCGACTCTCCACATTTGCAAACTGAGACAATCCTCCGCCAGAACATGGGAAAATACATTGCCATTTTTTTTCTCTTTTGTGCATGTGAGGAGTACTGGAGGGAAGCCCTATGCCTCCTTATTGCCTCGTCCTTTGCCTCTTCGACTCGGGGCAGGCCAAATGTGTGTTCTTTTCTGTGATCGGGACAGTGGGCCCTCCATGCCGACATTAGGCTTACGGCCGCTTACCAGCCTCAGCAGCCTGGCGATTGAGAATAGGTTAACAGCGAATGGGCCCCATTATGACATTGCGTCTGATCTCCTAGTACCAAGCAAGAGGAGGCTGGCATTGAAGGGTACTACCGTTTTCACCCGAACAGAATGCCCGGTCATTATCGCTGCATCTGGACCGAAAGTTGTGCCAAATACAGCTATAATGACCGGGCGTTCTGTTTGGGTGAAGACGGTACGTGGAATCCCACCAGGTGGTGCGAGAATGAGTCCGATCATCTCCAGCACCGGTCTGGTTGTGTGAAAAGTCAGCAGACGGGAAGGAGCCTAAATCGATGGACTCGAAAGCGCACATCGCATACTTGAGCAGTACGAATCCTTCGGCGGTTGGGTGAGACTAACAGGTAGTCATAGGACAGCCTGGCGGGCAATGTTCCAGCGCGACCCTCCATGACTAGGACGATTTACCAAAGTACGTACACATCGGCCATAGCATGCCGTGTTGTGAAAGATACGTTTTGCCGACCCTATGGCTACAGATCGGCCAATCGGGAATCGGTAGCGACTAGTATGGAGCAATTTGCCAGTGCAGTGCCCTATGGCTACCGTCTTCCCCCGAACATAACGCATATGCGTTGCGTGTCGCAACTTGTAGACGAATACAACAACGCGTAGGTTGCTTTCTGTTTGAATACAACGCATGGCATTGTGTGTTTCCAATGCATATGCGTTTTATTCGAATATAAACGAATGCAACGTATATGTTGCTGCTGTCTATTCAAATCATGGCAACCGCGGACCCGGACCCGGACATGTCTGGACTGGTCCAGACGTCCGGTAATCCGGACAGGCACCGGACAACCGGACAGGACCGGACCCGGACCGTCCAGACCGGTACACCAGACAAAAAAATGTCCGGACCGAAAAAAAAAACATTAGTAGTGAACAGTACTAAACACAGCTTACTGTCTTTCACTATTCACAACTTGACAGCTTCATACTGTCACAGAGTCAGAGACATTCACACAGGCTCACACAACACTAGAAAGTTGAAAGCAGTTCTCAACAGACCAACGACGGGATCTCAGATCTGACCAAAATCATCTCTCTCTCTCTCTCTCTCTCTCTCTCTCTCTCTCTCTCTCTCTCTCTCTCTCTCTCT